CTGGCATGGAATTCTGGGGAATTCTGGGAGTTGAAGTCCACACCTCTTAAAGTTGCTGAGGATGAGAAACACTGGTCTAAAGCACTGTTTGCCTTCAATAGTGCTGCATAACCTAGTTATGACACCTCCATATCCTGAACCCTAGTAGCTATAGCTACTTGTTCACGGATATCCCACAGATATTTAGTCAGGAAACTAATGCTGGGCCAGATATTTGCAGGATTCCTAACTCCACGAGAAAGTAAAATTCCAAGGATAATTTAAGGGGGAAGAGAGATCACCCCAACTCTGTCAGGAGATAACCAATCACTTTTTTTTTGTTTCTTTCTTTAATCTTTAAAATGTCCCCCATACAGCACAGTGGTGAGATTGCTCCCCTTGTTTCAATCCTTTTTCCCCCCTACAATGATCAGATAACCCTGCAACCATCAGGCAACTGTGTAATATTACACAAACAGTTGATGAATGTCAGAATATGGATAAAGGAAGGAGTTTCTTCTTGCTGTTCAGGCATGAGTGAGGCCTTTTTAAAATTAGGAAGGAAAAGAGAATGACAGCTTCTCTCCCTTAGTTGCTGGCTGGGTGGTAGTCTTATTTAAAAAAAAAAAATTAAATACCCCTTTCCTCCATCTTCCTTATTTGGCCAACTGTCCCCTGAATGGTATGGAGAGCTTTGAGCCTGGTGGCAAGGCAGGCGTTGTCCACATAAGGAAGTTGGAGGAAGAATTGCTTTGCTGCAACTGATACGGACTAGTTTAAAGTGTTTAAAATATATAGAAAAAAATCATTGGTGAGCAAGATAATCAATCCAGTCCCCTTGACCTCAAATCCCAGATTCTCTCTCCACTCTAAAATTGCTGTGCTTTGATCCCTCCCCTTCCACGATGGGGCAAAATCAAAAACCAAGTCAACATTTGGGCTACAAAGAATTAGGACTGGCTGGAAAGAGCAGCAGTTGAAATGAAAGCAAATCATCTGCTGGATTTTGATGAAAGCCACTAAAACATAGGGTGCTGACTCTGCGCGGAGGCAAAAAAAAAAGATATGCAGCACTGGGGAGCATTAAACTCTCACTGAACCACAAACGATGTTTGCAAGGGATGAGTCACCGTGTCAGAGTCAGGACTGATTGCAAACATAATTAGCCATTTTTAATATATTTTTATTTTATTTATTTTCACAGAACATCTTGTGACTCGTTTTGCAGTTTGGTGTAATATAAGAGAAGAGGGATCAGGGAAAACATACATCACGCTCAGCATGCCACTGTTGTTATTGCTGTCAGTTTATTTTGGGGAATAATGAACACAGAATGAAATCATTGGGCTAGTTCATACTTAGGTTTTGTTGTTCAAACCACCTCTCTTATGGGGTTCTTTTCAGTAGTCTTTTTTTTTGGGGGGGTAGGACGTAATAAGGGTTGGGTTCTCCTTGGTTACACAAAAGTGCCCCAGAGTCGTAGCAGTAGATCTTGGCCACCGGATTTAGCATTTTTGGACATTTTGCCTTTTGCTTTGTAAAATAATGCCAGTTTCTAAACAGCATTGTTGCAAAGGTATGCTTTAAAGTACATGGACTGAGGTCTTCTCAGAACTGTAAATACAAGAGGAAGGGGATTTTGCAGGATATGGCAACGAGATCATGGTAGCAGATTGCAAACTCTTCTGTTTTGTAACTGGGGTACATGCCAGCACTCAACAGGCAGAGTTTGCATCGGAATGTCACAACAGACATTGAAGCACATTTCCCCTTTCATGGATATCATGATTCCCAATGCTCAGAGATCAAATAAAATTATAAAGTATAATTTCTTTCCCGGAAGAGTGATGTCATCCAAAACAAGAATGAATTTAAAAAATCAGCAACGGAAACTCTGAAAGCAGGCCTATTTTGTGCCGTGAAGTCCTTGCTGACTCCTGGCAACTGACTGGAGAAGTCCTTGCAGTTTTCTTGGCAAGATCTCGGAAGTGGTTTGCCATTGCCTGCTTCCTAGGGCTGAGAGAGAGTGACTGGCTTTGGGCCTAAGGCAGGAGTAG